GGCCTTTGTTTAATGCTTTTAAAATATTGAAATAATTTAGGATTTGGCTTTTAACTTTGTTTTCATTAAATACTGTAAGCCATCTGGGATCCTTCCTATTCATATTTTATGTTGATCCTTTTAGGCTGAGCCTTAATGCTGGCTGGGAATGGGTGGAGATGGCTGTCCAGGGCTTAAAGTCATCTAACACACGGAAATTAAACTGCCACCTCCTCCAGGATAGCTGTCCCTAAGGCTTTAGCCCAACCTCGGGCCCCCAGGTGTTTCTGGACTACAACTCCCAGAAATCCTTCCCAGCATAGCTAGTGGTGAAGGCTTCTGGGAGTTTGAGTCCAAGATCATCTGGGGAAATCAAGGTTGGAAACCACTGCTTTAACCAGAGCCCTGAGATCTGGCTATGCTAAGTGTTAATTTGTTCCACCACCACCCCATTGCTAGTCTCCTCAACCAGGAAAGAAAATTAGAAAGAAGATGTACTTGGGCAATCGATCGGCAGCGGGCAGTCCTCAAAGCTACATGATGAACATCTATAGTGGCGAGCCTCTATCTGGAACCCTGTTTGGAAAAAAAATACACACATAGAGTTTGAAGCAAACTTAAACAGAAACCATAAAGGAAATATAGCAGGTGATGAAGACTGGGGAGATCGAGGGACACGGGTTTTTAAAAAAAGGAGGAGTGGGGGAAAAGGTTTTTCTTTCAAGGCAGGTAATCTGTGAACTCACCGCATGGTGGGATGCAGGCTGGAGCTGTAGGGGAGGAGAGGTGTTGGTAAATTTAGTAAATTAATGCAAACCTTTTTCTGCAGAGACCCTCAGAGCAGAGGATACGTCATTTGAAACAAAATAGAAGAAAGACGTAAACCGAGACCTGAGAGTCCCTGCCTTTCCTGATCATCTAAAAAGACATGACACAAGAGGAAAAAGGGATGAGGAGGGGAAAGGAATGCAGGACGAGTGCTGGCGTGATTTCCAAATGTTTTTTTTATGACCGTAGTTTGACAACTCACATTGAATTTTGGGGTAACGGATGGACGGACAGACAGCAAAGGATGTGGTGCATCAGACCAAGCATGTAATATATCCTACTTCTGGCCTACCCAAGGCACTTTGCCACCTGAAGAGAAACCCGAATCTTCCCCAGGGACCAACCATGCCAAGCACCTTGCTCAATTGACCGTAGTTTGACAACTCACATTGAATTGTGGGGTAACGGATGGACAGACAGACAGCAAAGGATAGGGTGCATCAGACCAAGCATATAAGTAATGTATCCTAATTCTGGCCTACCCAAGAGTCATCATTTGAACTACTTCTTCCAGCGTCTCATGAAGAGAAACCCGAATCTTCCCCAGGGACCAACCATGCCAAGCCCCTTGCTCAATTGCCTCCCTTCACCTACCTCAACCCCCCCCCCCGCTCGTTCTGGTGCCTTTTGAAGGAGAGTCATCATTTGAACTACAGTACTTCTTCCAGCATCTCACAGCTAGCAAGGTCAAGGCTCAGGGATGATGGGGGTGGTAGTTCAGAGGATCCAGAACACCCATGCTTGAGGAAGCCTGGCCTGTTTTATGAATCGAGCCAATCCATCATCCACAGGAGAAGTTGTGAAGATGGCACAAAGGAAGCAACGAGCAGGGCTGAGCATACAAAAAGATCTCAGCTATGGCTCCTTGAGGCCACCAAGGTTGGTCAGACACGGCGGCCGCTGGAAGGTGAAGTTCGTTCATCCATCCCAAATACAGGAGAGTATTTTAGGTTCAGCCTGTTGGCTTCCAGACTGTTACACTTAATCCTCTGCTAAAGCAGGTGACCGCCACTTTTACTAACCCCTTCAGCCATGCCACCGTTACTGGGTGATAAACAGTAAACCAGTTAGAAGCCCAAACGTCATTGGGAGCAGTATCCCAACCAGTTAGAAGCCCAAACGTCATTGGGATCAGTATCTCTCTCACTGGATCAGCTGCCACTACGATTATGCCAGCTCCCCCACCTTACCTGTTTTTAGTTGACCCACTTCTTTTTTAACCCATCCCACAGCTTCCGAAAAGGCCTGACGATAAGGCACTGTAAGGAGAAATGGAAGAGGGCAGGAGGGTTATATATATATATTTTTTGAGGAAAAGGCTCCAGCGAGACCAGAAAGAACGGAAACCCAAACTTCTATCTTCTGTTGCCACCAGCTCTGTTGGCTGGGGATCATGGGTGTGACGGCCCACCAACAACTAAAGGGCCACATATCCCTCATGCCCAGGAGTTTGTGAAATGTGTCCCTCTTTGTATTCTGCTTCTGTGCTTGGATCAGGAATCTAGTCAGGCTCCTGGGCATGCTTTCAATGAGGATGAAACAAGGATCAACCAAGAAGGATGCAAACCATCAGCCCTCAATGAGGGTGCAAAGGATTGTGTTGGGGATTTACAGAAGAACAGACCAACATCTGTTCTCCTCTAGCCCAACACCTTAATTCTTCACAATCCGGTTGATTTTAATGGTTCAGAGAAAATAATTGCTCTCCATATTTTTTACTTATTAATTTAGCCCGCCTTTCCCCCAATTCTGAGACCTAAGCAGCTTACAAAATGGCGAGGGAGAAAAATAGGTACAGCTAAAAGCAATTTACTGCAAAGCAACATCTTCTTTTGTTTTCGTCCTTGTATATAAATTACCTCAGAAGGCAAGAGGTGTGTATGCCTGGACTGTCTCCCATCCTAGGGGACATGGCTTCAAGATGGGACACCACATGTGAGAGGAAGAAGGAAAAGCTGTTCATTTAGCCCTTAACATCATAGGTTAAAAGAACAGTCCCCTTCCGTCGAGAACCAACAGAAACAAAATAAACCCATTCAGAAGGGGACAAAATAACGCTCAAAGTCGCCAATTCTGTCACTGCAGAAACCAAACCAAATTTTACATCATTTGGTGACAAGGAAAAAAAAAACCTGTTATCATTGAACCAAATTCTTACCAGAGAGTAAATACACTGTCTGAAAAGAGCTCTTATTTGAGAATTTAAGAAATTAGTGAAAGGGGCTTCCAGTATAGTGTGTGTTTATTTGTATAGTTTAACATGAATTTTCATGTGAGTTGCTTTGAGCCCTCTTTCGGGAGAGACGGCATAAACCAAACCCATCCATTCATCCATCAATATAAACACATGACTACTCACATTACTTTCAAGAAAGTGTGTTTTGTGGGGTGGCGAAAAGTTTGGAGTTTGAAAAAGTTCTTTCTTGTGGATTAAAACTCCATCCAACATGCGAGAAAACATGCTAAAGAGTGTGTGTGGGGGGGAAACAGGCCTGGTTACTTGTATAAACCTTTACGTATGTATGTATGTATGTATGTATGTATGTATGTATGTATGTATGTATGTATGTATGTATGTATGTATGTATGTATGTATGTATGTATGTATGTAAATTTCTATACCACTCCATTAGTGCTATGCATTGTTCTGGGTGGTTTACAGTGCGATAAAAACCACAGCAATCTGCAAAAACTGAAATAAAAACACACAAAGACTAACAGAATACACAAAGAGGCATAATTTGCAATTTAGGTGAGGAAGGCAGGACATATTTTTTAAAAAAACAAAAGCCAGGCAGGGTTACACTGAAAGGCCTCTTTGGAAAGCTGAGTTCCAGTTTTATTTGTCCTTGAGGTGTCCTTTTGTTCTTTGATGTGTGTGCTGGGAGCCACTCTTAAGGGGAGAAGTAGGCAGAAGATAAGCCAGGAGCCATTTGCATTTCTAGATGATTAGCAGTACATCCAGACGGTTTTCTGATTCCATTAGGAATATTAAGATAAGCATTCTTCTTGCCCCAAAGCAGGAAAACAATCACCCACAGGGCAGTGTCCCTTCCTGCCATTTCTATAGCCTTCAGATGCAGCCTTGAAATAAATAGTACCAAGGCATAGGGGACGGTGGGTGTCGGCGGGGTTTGTAAGCTTCCACGTGTGATGGGGTTTGCATAAAATCCATTGTCAAACCTGCCTGAAGGCGTTTCCAAGTACTTTTGGTTTCCATTTCAAAGAAGGAAAGAAATGTTGAAATATTTCCAAGCTTGGTGGGGCTTGTGGTAGATGCCAAGGCAAAAATGGGGCCTTTGACCGAGCACGTTGGGTTGACCATCCCTGCCTTGAATCATACTGCTGTGATAAGGAAGCCTTGGATGAAGCTCCTTCTTGTCTCCCCTGCCTCTGATTTCCTAGACTTTTCCAGTTCTGGACATACCTGTTTCACACCAGGTGGTCAATGGGTGGCCTTCCAGGTGTGTTGGACTGCAACTCCCATTAACCCCTGCTCATACAACAAGAGCTGAATGCTGCTTGTTGCCAACCTCGGCCCCCATTTGTGGATTTCAGGGTTCGAGTACCAACAGATCGATCCCACAACTCTGAAACCGGCCCATCTTTCTAGAACATTGCGATCTGTTGCTTGGAGTCCTCAGAACAAGAAGGGAGATACATCTAAGTATGTGAAATCACAGGCACCCACCCTTGGCCATGCCTTTCTCTTCCAGGAAGAAGATACTCCTGGTGAAAATGTCCTTCAGCTTCTCAATTTCGGTCACATCTTAGGAGAGAAGAGAGAAAGAGAAATTCGATATAAGGTGCTTTCCTTTTCCATTTAGGGTCCAGATGGGAAGGGAGGTACTGGAAAACAACAGGGCTGAGCCATATAGAACCTGGTAAGTTTGATAGAGAGTCAGTGTTTGGAATGAACAGGAGGACCACATAGATTGGGGGTGGAATTTGGGTGGGTCTAGGTGGGGGGACAGAGTTTTAGACCAGTGGTCCCCAACCTTGGGCCTCCAGATGTTCTTGAACTATAACTCCCAGAAATCCTGGCCAGCACAGGTAGGGGTGAAGGCTTCTGGGAATTGTAGTCAAAGAGCATCTGGGGGACCTAAAGTTGGGAACCACTGCTTTAGATCAAAAGGGTTGGGCTATTCATGTCGCCTCCCAAGGTTGGGAACCACTGCTTTAGATCAAAAAGGTTGGGCTATTCAGACCACAAAAGCTGCTAAAAAGTAACTTTTCCCAGCAGGGTATGGAAATTCCATGCCTGGTTTGGAGAGGATTGTTTGAAGAGGACTGCTCCAGTGAGAGGCATGACTACAACTCCTCGGCACTCTTGGGACCAGTCTTCTCACACCTACCAAGAGTACCCAGGACCTGTATTTGCAGAAAGGGCAAGAGTGCCATGTAACCTTCCCTTCCATGTTAGTGGAGGGCTCCTTTGGACGGCACTCACCCACCTCCGTTGTGTCATAAGGCTGGAAGGATGCCCGCAGGGTCTCCAGACAAGCTCCATGCTGCTCGCTCTGGTGGCCCAAAAAATATTGGCAAACCCGGAGGCGGCGCTTGGCGTCGGAGAAGCAGAAGAGGCAAGCCGCTGCTGGAGAGGCTAGCCAGAGGAGCAAAGGGTATCTTGCGCGCATCACACCGGAGAGAGTCCAAGATGCTGCTGGCATAGAATCACTGCCAAGAAAAGAAGTGGTTTGTGATGTCATAAGGGAAGTCCGCAGGGTATATCACAGTTCAGATAAAATCTGTGGGGAAATGAACTTAAACCACTCTAAAGCAAAGCAAAGCAACATTGAAGTCTTGCATTTCATTGAATTTTGACCTCTTCTAAATCTCTTGCTCAACCTCCTCCTTCTCTCTCTCTTCCACCAAAACTCCTTGTCCATTTCCTGATGGCCGGCCCTCCCATTAGGCAGAGTGAGGCACTTGACTTAGGGAAAAGAAGTTTGGGGCCTTTCCAGTTGTGTTTTTTTGAGCCCCAAAGTCTGTCATCCCTTCTGGAGGACAGAGCAATGTGGCAATGCAATCCGGCCTGTACCCCCCTAAGATGGATTGGGGCACTCCTTTCCCTCCCTTTTCTACTGATGACCTCCTGTGTGAAGCAAATTTACTTCAGGCAAAAAACCAGGTCACGAGCTGTATTTTAGTGATAAAGGCACAACCAGCTTGCACGTCTGTGTTTTATATCCTGGAGAGAGTCAATACAGACAATATGGCGCTCGGAGGAGAAAGACCTAAACAGGTTACTCTGAATTCCACAGAACTCTTGTTCTAGGGAATTTTGGGAGTTCGGGGCCAAAAAAAGAGTAAATTTTATCTGTTTCTGAGAAGGATCAGCAACCTTAGGAGAGAAAAAAAATCTGATTTACAAGAAACTCCTTCATTCCTTCCCCCCCCCATAGTGAATGGGTGTTGATAATATGCAAATATGGCTATGTATTTGCATGAAATTTGGTCGTCATCCTGAACTTTGAAAGGTCTTCAGAAGGGCAGCTGCTAGGTCTTTTTAATTCTCTTTGTAGCTTCTTTCATTTTTCCTTTTCAATTTAGAGATTTTTTTTTAGGCTCCACTAAGTTTTCCCGGTTGTGACAAAGCCTTTGTGAATAAATAGCATTTTAGGACTAGGGATTTCTTTCTGTCCCCAGTTGTCCCACACATCATCTTTGGATAGCTGACATCATTCTTTCTCCCTGCACGTTGCGTGCCGTCAAGTTGACTTTAGACTTGGCCCTAATAAAGTTTCCAAGTTATGTGAGATATTTAAGGAGTGGCTTTGCCAGTGCCCCCCCCACACCCATTGAGTTCCCACAGCTAAGCTGACACCCAGATGCCTGGAGTCCTAGTCCATCACTTTTATGTGGCCCCCAACCTTGGTTCTCCAGATGTTCTTGGACTGCAACTCCCAGAAGCCCTTGCCAGGGCAGCTAGTAGTCAAGATTTCTGGGAGTTGCAGTCCAAGAACATCTGGAAAGCTAAGGTTGAGGAGCACACAGGGTCCTATAAAGCTTAAGATGGCTCTTCCGTGGTTTTGGTGGGTAGAGGATGGTTCCTTGAAAGTTGATCTGAGTTGGGGGTCCCAGTTTTTGTTTTGTTTCATAGCAGAAAGGAACAGAATCTTGTGGCAGGCTGAAGATTTTCAGGTTTTATTCAGCTTACCTTTTTTGTGGATTGCAGCCTAACTTTTGACACTCTGTGATTTTCACATGACATCCTCAATTGTCATCAGCCACTAGAACAGTCACCTTAGAAGATGGCAACTGGCACACCACTGCATCGCATGGCATGGGTGACAAACCACGTAAACCCCTGCCAGTCTCCTGGATGCCACCACAGCCTATCATGGCTGCCCTCACCCCCTGTGAGTCATCACGGGGATCAAGAATTAGGTGGCTAGACCAGAGAGCAATGCTATCATGCACATCCATTTTAATGGCCTCTGAGCTGGTCCCAGGCTTTGACAATACCTCTACATCAGAATTCTTGGTGGAAATACGTAGATTAAATCCATAGGCGCTGTTTACAACAGGATGCTGATGAGATGGAGGAGATCTCTCCCCGCCACACACCCCTTCTATTGTTCGTACCTTCTGTGCAATTCCGGGTTTTCTTGGCATCCTGACAGCAGATCAGGTGGGATATGTGGATTATGTGTGTATGTGCATGGAGAGCTGTAATGGGAAAAGAGGAGGGATCTGTACGCCTCAGACTTCAGTTTCCATGGAAACCAGACAGCTCAGCTTGATGCTGGGGACTATGTCTTTTTAGGATGTGTGTGTGTGTGTGCGCGCACGCAGAAGCAAGCATGTTAAGAGGTGCGCTTTTCCTACTGACAACTTGATCGATAGGGAATGAATGAGAATCTTGATTTCCCTTCTAGTTGCCATCCTGCACCCTCCCTTATACTTTATCCCAATCTATACATCTTCTCCTTCCCCCCCATCCCACCCATATGGATGCAAGTGGTTCTGCCGCTCATCCCAATTCCCAGCCAGCTCCCTCCATGTGCATGACCAGGCCTTGGAAATTTTTCGTTTCGTGTTCACATACGTGTTTTCCCCAAAACAAGACAGGGTCTTATATTAATTTTTGCTCCAAAAAATGCATTAGGGCTTATTTTCAGGGGAAGTTTTATTTTACAGTCATGTCACCTTCTGGTTGCTGCACAGGGGTGGAGGGTGGGGGTTTCACTTAACTGGGGCTTATTTTCGGGGTAGGGCTTATATTATGAGCATCCTGAAAAATCCTACTAGGGCTTATTTTCAGGTTAGGCCTTATTTTCGGGGAAAGAGGGTATGTCGCTGACAGATGTATTGCGGCTGTGTTGTGAGAGGTGGGGCACACTGGTGTTATTGCTTCTCCTGAAACACCTTCTTCCACACCCCTTTCGATAGTACAGGATCCCTATCTTTTTATGTGCACCCATCCTGGCACCAAGCCACCTGAATGCCAGTTTCTGCAGCGTTAGGAGAGGCCTCCCTTGCATGGAGTCACCCCATGCAAAGCTGCCCAGGTCTCCTGGGTGTGCAAGGAATGATCCTGGGGGTTGGCTTCCTCTGATTGCAACCCAGGAATGATGTGAAGACTTTGGCTGGAATTATAGCCCTTTTGCTCTGCAATTAAGAAGATGCAGATGGGTGTGTGTGCGTGTAAGGAACTTTGCTATTGGGCACATGCCCCCTATGCAGAAAGTCATCACATACAGTTGGTTGGCTGTCCTTCTTGAAAGTTTTATTCTTGCTTTGTTCTTGTTGTTTAGAGTGAAATGTTTATTTCCATTACTGCACTGTAATATTTTGAAGTACTTACTCACATTAGTCGCATTTCCCTCCTAAAACTGCCTTTTTAGAAATGTGTAAAAAAGAATATTCAGTTTTGTAAATATGTGCATCAAAAGACTGTACATAAATGACTCGAGTCTTCACTAGAAGAAGAAAAAACCCCAGCTTTCCTCACTTGTATCATTGTTGGGTCACTTTCCCTCTTGGCTGGACACACCTACCATTCAACTCTCCTGTCTAGTACTGCCCTCTGCTGGCCCTGGGTGGGAAGAACACAGGAGAGTAGGGGATGTTTGGGTTTTATTCTCCCTCCTGCAGCAAGTATAATTCCACCTAGAATCACTCTCTCACAGCCAGCTGAACGCGGGCAACAGAGCAGTACTCACCATCCCATCTGAGGAGAGGTGGCTTCATTTTTGGGAAATAGGACAAGAAAGTCCATGAGGTCTCATTCTGCTGCTCCTCCACTTTTTCAGGATGGCTGCGCATGTCACCCTACAGTGGTGTGCATATCATCCTCCTCTAGACTAGCACAAATGACAGCATGACATAGATTACGTTGTCCGAACTGTAATAGTGGACACCGCCGCATCTATCCAGATGGTTTGCTTTATCTCCCAAGAAACAAGCATCGTGATTGGGGGAGCTATGGGTGTTGCTGAATGCCTTGTTTCGCTTTTGCCATATAACTTTAAGCATCCCCCCTTTCCACAATGATCTGGCTGGATAGCTTGGTGTTTTAGGTGTCTGGCTGTGGAGCCAGAAGTTGTGAGATTAATTCCCCACAGTGCGTCCTTGGAATAGACTAGAACCAGCCTGGGTGGCCTTGGGCAAGCTGGAGAGTCCCAGGGTACCCCCAGAAGAAGGGAAGGGTAAACCACTTCTGAGTAGCAGGAGAACCTTGAAAAGGGTTGCCGTAAGTCAGAATTGACTTGACAGCACATCATCGTCATCACCGTTATATATCCCACAATGAAGCAGGATTGGAATACAGTAGCTCAATCAACTCCTGTTCCTTTTTTACTTTACCAACTTACTTGTTCCTTGTGCAAAGTCCATGGGATATTTCAGACACTATAAAAACAACGTAACAACCAGTTTTGACCATATGCTCTTTTAATGGGAGAGAAAAGCATGCAATCAGATTTTGCAATAAATATGGGGCTCTGTTTTTGCCGTTAACAGACTAAC